CCCCCCCCCCCCCCCCCCCCCCCCCCCCTGAACAGCCCAGGCAAATGTAGCAGGGTAAAAATAGACCTTCGCGTTGCTTTTGGAAGCGAACCCCGTATCGTGAGCGGAGCAGGAGTCCAGAACAAAAGGACCGAATTTCTGACTGACAAGCGTGTATGTTTTTGAATGTCATCACATGTTTGAAGAGGCGTTCAGAGTCGACCCCTGTGGGCTCATCAAAGTGTTTTTAGCTGGAAGAGACCATGTGAACCAGTGGTTTGTCTAAAAACACCACAGTGAGAATCACAGTCGGAGGTTTTATTGGACAACAGATATGAACTGTTTAGTTAATATACTAAATAGAGGGACTGATGGTAAGTAAGGCCGAGTCGACCCCAGCTTCCTAACATACCTAATATTTGGAATATATATAATAATATAAAAAAGCGTAGTGTTGCCTTCCCTGAGCCTGCAACATTTTTGATGAGCTGAAATTAGTTTTATGTTTTCATTTATCGCGTGTGCAATAAACACTTTTTATTCCAATACGCCATAAACTCCATTAAGCAACAGTCTTAGCTGTAGCATCACTGCATCCGTACAATGATTAATGAGATATTTATTTTGGTCAGAAATGTTTGAGAACGTGTATAAAAATGTATAATCTAAATTGTTGTCCCATTTTTTATGTTGTAAAGAAAAACTAAATAAAAAATCTTGAAATACCCACTTAGGCAACAACTGTTAAGTAAAACATGGGCATTGATAAATTATAATCGTTTGATAGTTGCAGGAAAATAAAAGTCTGGTGTGATTATGGTAATAATATGGGCATGGTTATGGAGCTGGTTTGTCCCATCTGAATCAGGTCAGGTGGAGCTGCCTGTACACATCAGACTCCACCAAAGCCTCCCAATAAATTCCTTAATATTTATTCATTAATCCGCAACCTCATTATTCGCTCATTTGAATTACAAATTCACGGCGACTGAATCACACAGAGCCTTCAGGATCTGGGACGTGGGTTCATAGTAAGTAAAAAAAATAAAAAAAAAAGAGGTCGGAGGGAGAATTGCAAATGACCATCCATAAATCATGCGCTCTGACACCTGGTGGTGCTCCTCAACTTTTATGATCCAGGCATTTGCATGAATGTGGAAATCTACAGGCGCGTGTGCTGAATACATTTGTGTCTTCATTTAGCGGCGTGTTTAGTAACGTTGAGCTTGTACTACAGCTGTTAGAATTACTTGTACTTGGTCAGGTTGTTGTCCTCCAACTTAATTTATTTCTTACGTTTCCCAGAGTGACTCTGATCAAGTTTCAGCTCTCAAACACAGTTGCTGGGGTAAGAAGAGACTGGAGTTCACAAAGGAACCAAATCAGAAAGCAGGAAACGACCAAGACGTTCAAGAACCCTGAACCTTCCACTGATATAGATCAGCTGCTGGCTGCTGCAATTTGGGGAAGATTATAGAAGATTCGAAAAACAAACATACCAATGTGGGGCGGCAGTAGCTAAATCTGTAAAGTCCGGTCCGGTTCAAGCGTAGCTCGGATCAGTCGGTTGTGAGTGTGGACCGGTAGCTGGAGAGGTGCCAGTTCACCTCACAGGCACTGCTGAGGTGCCCTTGAGCAAGCCACCGAACCCATTGCTGCTCGAGGTGCCGATGATTTATCTGTAATCCGTATTGATCCCCTCACGGTTTGGCACGCATGTGGAGCGCAGATTAATTACACAGTTTAATCATCAAGTTTACTACCGATGGTTATCAGGCGATATTTAGTCAAAAACAGATCGGGATTAATACTTTCTAGTGGCCGATCCCTGATAATGCTTCATTGTGAACAACAAATCTCTGTTGAAATCAGTAGGCTTGCAACGTTAGCAGCACCGGCACTAACAGCTAAGGTTCGGAGGTTCCATTCAGCTACATTATGATCCGTTCAGGCTCTGTGCAGTAAAAATGAGTATTGGGCGAAGGTGAATTATAAAGGTATCGTGAATGTTCAAATGTAATCTTCTAAAATGACGTTTTTGGCGAGAAACTTGAATAAATCCAGTTGTTTGATGGAGATGTTTTCACATTAATATAAAATTGATATTAGAGAGTGAATTGTGCCCGGTTTAAATTCCTAGTTCTAAACAGCTTTTAATACATAATTAAAACTACCAATGACAAGATGTTCAATAAAAATCAGAATCAGAATCAGAATCAGAACCGTTTATTGCCATGTATGTTGAACATACAAGGAATTTGGCGTGACGGGAGGTGCAAACATTTAACAATCAACAACAATCAGTGCAGGTAGAAACATATTAAAATTTACAAGAGATATAAAATAAAGTAAGATATAAAATAAATGAAATCTAAAATAAAGTGAAATCTAAAATAAAGTGAAATCTAAAATAAAGTGCACAAACGAACAGATGACAGGACTATAAACAAGTGAGATGTAAGTGTAGTGTAAAGTGTCGAGTGTAATAGAAGGGATGCAGGGGAGTGACCGGTGAGAATTTGTCCTGGGGATGACAGAGTCAGTGGGGGTCCCGGGCTCTGTTAAATACACATTATTATTATTTCCTAATAATTTGAATTGTGTGTTCTTATGCAAAAAAAACACTATAGATGACTTTAACAAAGTGAAAGAATTGGTTTACAGACTTACGATATTGATCATTGATGATCGGTAATTGGTATCATCTGCAAAAAATATGATCTGGGGATCTCTCAAAGTTAAATGTGACTCAAAACCATGATGTGAAACGAACCGTGAGATTTATGATCCGCTGCACCCCTAGCGGCAGCACAGCAGGACAACAATGACAACAGTGCATGTCTATAGGTCCTGTGTGTGCATTTCAGGTCTACAATAACAAAACATAATTTCCCCTAATGGGATAAATAAAGTGGTTCTATCAGTCTTAAAAGGATGCCAGTTACCAACGTCACAAGCGAGAAAGGCCAACAGAAACAACTGCTAGTCCCGTATCTAAAGAAGAGTTTTTTTCCAGAGAGTGGCTGCTTCAACAGAAAAGTCCAAAGCTTCGATATAATCTTGCTGATTGCAGCAATAAACACACCCGTGTCCATGTCAAGGTGAAATTGCTTTAGTGATTTACAGTTTTCCCTTCCAGTATCGAGCGGTGAGTTACCAAGCAGCTACAGTCTCAAAGACTCACAGGAGCGTGTGTCATGTCCTTAATGTGCGTGTCCCTTTATTCTTTGTGAGGACAAAGAGCCGTGTGCAAATATGGCAAAAAAAAAAAAAAAAAAAGGTGCCATGGAGACAAAACTGCATCAGGACCATGGACAAAAAGCCTGTCAAAATACTGTCCATTACCCAGTGTGTGTAAGACT